CGCCGGACAGCGTCAAAATAAAATGTTAAATGCAGAGCATTTCTTGCTCATCTGCCTGTAAAAGAGCCTGCCAATAAAGAAAAACGCATTAAGAAATTGGTGGTGTGTGGATAGATTGTCATACTGACGTTCCATCTCGTCATTTGTCACTTGAAAACAGTTTCCAAATACTCCATAGACAACATTGAAACAGCAATTTACGTGGGAAGCGTTTTGCCTGGGACACACGGTAATATGCCAGATATGCATTTTCATGATTAACAAGGTTCATTAACGAATGCTCTAATCGCATTTTGTCCTTTAATTTACAGATGCAGTTGCATCGTTTGCAGTTGCATGTCCCCTCCGCTATCTTCCGCGTGACGTCTTCCGCCGCGCGCCGCCATGGCGTCGTCAAAACGAGTCTGTTATCGTTATAGCAGTATAAGGGCCAGATTGAACCACCACCAAGCGGCCCACGCCATTCAGCTGTCGGATGTAGTCATGCATGCAGATGATAAGCCTTTTGCACCCTGGTCGAAGCGGAAGTCTGTAATGCATTCCTGTGGTGAGGGTTGAACACGGAACTACACGGTCATATAAGACAGCGGGCAGTGATGACGAAACCTGTCCACATATGAGGGATGAGCAAACTAAATTTTTACTCATTTCGTTTTAATCAACACCACAAGTTTCATGTAGAATGTATAGCGGAGATAAGAGACAGCGCCTTTCATCTCCCCTCCCTCTGCCCTTAAGGGGATATTCCACATTCGCATGGCGTTTTGAGCTGAAAAAGCATCTTGAACATCATTCGGTGCACTTCACAGCCCTGCACTTAGCAAGACATAAGCTCCTCTGGTTTCTGAGCAACACGCCCACAAAGATGTGCAGACTTTTTCGTGCAGACTATTTCAAGGTCACCTAGGCATCCATGGCATCATAATCACGTTATTCAAATATTGCTATTGTATTAGCTATGCGGCGATCAAGACTATAAAACAACAATGCCGATTTGTTCATACCTGGCGCTTGTGAGCACGAGTTCAGATATAGCGGACGCCAATTGTCTCTCACTCAATATCGTGCAAGGTACGATGACGCAATCAAAGAATGACGCATTGAGGAGCATGCTTACTAATTAGAGAAACTGTGTTGTCTCAAGGAGCATTACACTTAAATTTAGGCAAATAGACATAAGTGAGTTGTTTTCATTACCTCCGATACTTGATTCCATATCTTGGAAATATGGAACATTCCCTTCAACTCTACGCCCCTTGCAGGGTTAATTCAGGCTGTCCTTAAGAATGTCATTGAAGCGGAAGAAGTGTGAAGATATAATAGAAAAAGGAGAAAGGGAGAGAGTGAGAGAGAGTGAGGTAGATAAAAAAGAAGAGAGGGAGAGAGAGAGAGCAAGAGAGGGAGAGAGAGGGAGAGTGTGCGTGTGTATGTTTGTATGCTTGTATGTTTTAACTGCTTAATCATAATTCTTACAATCTGCGCGTATCTCGTGCGATTTAAACGAAATAAGGCTGCAAAACTCCGTGCAATTTTGAAAGAGTGCGTTGAACTTTACCCTGAAAGTTATGTGGTCTGATACTTGGAGCCTGTGATTATTTTCTGAATAAATCTCGTCACGTATTCCCCTTTGCATTGACTCTTAACACGCGGTCGGATGTGGTATGTATCAAATTGACCTCCCGAAGGTTTTTCCGGAATGGTTTCCGAACGACGCGGCGCAGTCACTCCAAATTTTGCCCAGCTGTAGAAAAATGAGTAGTGGGTCGTTTAATATAGAAAATTGGATGTACCTTGTAAGGTCGCTGACCTATGGCAGGCTAAAGTCAGACCACGGTTTCAGTGAAGCCAAGTTATAGGGAATCGTTCAACCTGATGCAACAACGGAATGTTAGGCGAAGCTATACATCTCGAGATGCTTTTTTAGGCTACACAAATATTGGATGAGCAAATTACGTTGACCTTAGGTCGGGTATGAGGGTCAGATGAAGGTCAAATCAACCTGTTTTGTTACTCTAGGGCCGCTGTATGGGATAGTTTCTGCTGCCCATTTCGAATTTATTGATAGACGGAACCACATTACACATCTCTCATGGACATTTTAGAGGTCAGAATAGGTAACTGACCTAATACCACCCATGCCAACATTCTGTTTTTGGAAGCATACTGTCTAGCGGAATCTCTGTCGCTTATTCGAATGCAAAACTCAGGGCAGCCCCGTGTGATTCTGGTCACCATGACCTTCAAAGGGTCAGGCAACGTCACTTATCTGAAATGAACTTGTGCCCTTTTGCTTAGAAAAATTTATCTAGGTTCTGGGGGCACTTGGTCAGGTCATTATCTAGAAGCATCAAACTTTAGCGTAAGTGAGTTAATATACAGATCAACACATCCTGTAAATTTGGTGTCTCTAGCTTTCTTAGTTCCCGAGATCGCAGGGGGTCAAACTGACCCCCACCAGAGCGAAGGTTATCTGACCGGCCACCCGGGCGCGTATTAATGACATTGTTTTAACTTTCGTATTCAAGAGGAGGTGGAGTCGGCGGAGGGGGGGGGGGGGCGCAGAACGGTACCCGCCATCTGCAAAACCAAGCAGGGGAAAACACAAGTGAAATGACATGGGAAAGCTCTCATTAAACTACATGGCATAGGTATGATCGAACCACGCTGGCTTTGACCTCTGATAGGTCACACAAGCTCATAGGGATCAAGCTCGCGCTTGTTGAGCTCTTTCCTCTAACCGAAAAACAAAGCACATAGCAGCAATGCGGTAGAGACACTATATAGCCGGTGACAACCTGCATCAGGACTCTGGTGTTGCCAGCTACCTAAGGACAGGTTAGACCTCCAACTGCGAATAATTTCAAACACTGTGACTGACATCTTACAGGAAATTTGGTTGCAACGCTTCAACGCAACACTGTGACTGACATCTTACAGGAAATTTGGTTTCAACGCTTTGTGTGAGTTGTTCGGGGCCCAATGTACACACAAAGCAGAGCAGGCTGCTGTTATTCCTGGCCTACATTTCAGTGGTGCCAGTTCCAGTTCGAAGGATTATGCTGCCTATTTTCCGGTTTTGTCTGATTGTTGTCGGACAGGACTTCGGAGAATCATTTCTCTGGCCATGGAGTGTAACGCCACGACCACAACCTACCATGCTGGGTCAAACAGGTACTTGTTTTCGGAACCCGATCCCGACAGTGGCTCAAGTTCGTCTCTTGGCCATCTGTCTGACCCACTTTATGACCTAAAAGATTGTGTACACATTTAACTGGATTATGAACAAAGCAAGTCATGCTTTGACACAAATCCTTTCCTAGCATGCTTTGTCAAAAGCCTTGCCCTCGTTACCTTTCGCGAAATCGTTGGCTTGCGGCCTGGCAGCTCCTGGTAACGTGTCTGTCCTCGAGCAGAAAGCCGCAGCTGTGTTCTCGGCTTTGGGTGAACAGCTGTGATTTGGCAGCGTCCCTTCTGTCGTTTCATTGGCCGGGGGAGGGACACCGTAGGCTCCCGGTGACCTTCGGCTTGCAGTCTGCCTTGTCCTACATTCACCCATCTCCTTCATCCTACGAGTGCTAAATTATGACGTATTTGGTCTACTGGTCTTGGTCTTTTGACGCACTGGTCGAAGAGGCCTGACCCAAACACTCATCGAAACTGATACCTTGACCTGGCTGATTTTGACTTCAAAACTTAATTGTGTTTCTTTAACATTGACCAGGTGTAGTGCTTAGCATTAATACCATCCGATGCCGGCGTCCCACCACAGCGCAGCCGTGCACACCGCAGCAGTTAAGTATGCCATGCCACTCCCTCTTTGTGGCATGCTCAGCAGGGTGGCTCAGGAGGCCCACGGCAAGGGCCTGACAGCGTGTCGCATCATCCACTCAAGGAAGAATTGGTGGCCGTCCAACGTCGCAGACCAGTTTGGATACCTGCTATTAACGAGCTATCTCGTCATCGGTTCTCTCAAAGTCGGTACGCGTGGCACTCGAAGGTCGACGCCAGGGAAATAAGGAAGATCAGGTGTGGGAGATCAGGCGTGGGAGACCAGGTTCAGGGAGATCAGGGAGGCTAGGCGGCGTCAGGTAGAGCAGGCGGGCTAGCAGAAGGGACAGCACTGCTGCATGACAACACGGTCATGGCCATCGTATGTGTTGCAGCTATTAATTCCCTCTCTGCCACGATCATTGATTTTACTAAGAATAAATATACAAGTCTTGTGGCTTATAAATTTGCGATGTTCCAACATCGGAACAGGTTCGAATTCGATACGCCGTTGTTCGCGTGCCTTTACCCGCAAATCAGTATCATCAGCTAGTGATATAAATGCATGGATACAGCTAACTGACTGATAAAGAGTTGATGATAAAAGATGACACCCGATAATAACAAAGCATAGGCCAGATGAAATCTTACACGCTTAGAATCTAATACCCTCATTCCCTCGGTCGTTTTGGTTTGAGTCCAAATGATTCAGATATGTGCTTGTCTGTGACTGAAATATTATTTCTCAATGTCCTAGCAGAGACCATGGGGTGCCTGTATTGATACTTTACTGAGAATGTGAGCTATTCATCCATGGTCTATTACCGTTAGCCTACGGCTTCGGCACATTGTCCACTTCGGGCCATCGAACACTCTCAGTGTAATTACACCAACTAAGGAATGACGTTTTTATGCACCGTCTACTCTCAACATAAAGCTCATATTCGATCTTAGCACAAACCTTAAGTCAGGAATAGCTTACTTCAACATGTGCGAGCCCAGTCGTACAAACAAGCGCGCCTTTTCTCTGCACCTAACCCACAGTACTTTGGTATGCGCGTCGCGCGCGCCGCGCAGTTGTCCGATCGCCCGGCCGACCCCCCTGATCGCATGATATGCTTGGGGGGGGGGGGGGGCGGGGACGGGGTACTGACCGCATGACATCCGTCGGACCGGACCGGCGCGCTCCGGCCCAGGACCGGCCGAGGCAGACGCCATCCAGCAGCCAGCAGCGGCGCACCGCTGGCCGGCCCGCACCTCTGCGCAAGGTGAGATGGGACACCGGGCGGCCAGCAGTCCGTGACAAATTGAAAGCTTTTTGATAAATCATCGACCGGTTTGACTCGTGTGCGTGTGTTTCACTTCATGTAAATTTTAACAGGGTCGCTACGCACTTTTCATCGACGGCAAACGTTTTAGTTGCGCACCGTATATGCAGGTAGAATGGCTGGCCATTGGAGAATGTGCACCTGAGGATGTGACTCGATCTTGCAGCTAATGTAGCGAGGAAGAAAGGACTGTCACGACCGGGGTAACTACTAGTATCGCATCAATACAAATAATTTGCATTCTTAGAAAATGTCGTGTTAAAAGCTATGCGCAAACAATGGTATAGTGCATGAATAATATTGCGACTAGCCATGGTACCATTAGAAATAATTACGGATATATTACATATATATATATATATATATATATATATATATATATATATATCATATATCATATATCATATAGTATATCGATATCTATCTGAAATATCGGGCCGATATTTGTTGGGAGTCCACAAATTTAATTCACGAGGGTGTAAAATAGTACTCACCTATTTTAGTCCCTTACTGCTTCCAGCACCTACCAAAAGACCCGGTTCGTTCCAGCGGCAACGATACCTCTAAATCGTACGATCGTGAGATGCCAATTTGTTGACCTGCCGGTCGTTTGCCACATCATAGGCAATAACAAAACCCGCGATTTTCAAAGAGGACATATTCCATATCACTCCAAGTCAGACTTAGGGTCAGCTTACTCACAAACGCTTCCACGCATCTGAATTGACTCGGTGCTGGTAACATGGCAGATACATTAATGTTCAATGGCGATAAGATACATCAATCGTCCTAAGATATATGTTGCTGGATATAGCACTGGCGACTGGCATCATCGATGTTTTGTTTTATGCGATGGCGCGAGCTGGAAGACCACACTGGATCGACCTCAAAGAAGCCTGTGGCTCACACTGCAGCATGTCGTAAGGCTACAGCCCCAATCATTTTGCGTAAATGTGACAAGGGTCGGAAGCTCCCGGACACTTCCAGCGTTAGTTGTGTGGCGTCATTTTGACGCGGCGTAGAGTGAGCAAATGAGTTAAGCCAGATAAACAGTTACGTAGTACATGCACGCAAAGATGCAAGCTTCTGTGAACCTCTGTTGCTGCATGATTTCAAGTTAGGCTGACGTTATTAATGGACAGTCCACAGTAATTCGCACTCTTCAGATGCAGCCATTCATGTATAGATTAACGGAAACATCACGTGTCAAGACCGCGGTTAAACCACGATATATATACGCTGTCTTCGGATTTCGATGAGTTCAGGCAACGTGCGCTGTCGATAAGCAGCATTTGCAACCCAGTGAGTTAGATCGGTGACAAGTTTGCTAGCCCCAGCTTCTGTGAAGCGCATGTAAATCAAATCGCTTTAGTTATCATGTGCCATGCGCATGCCCTCAAAATGTGCATGGTCGAGGTATGAATCAGTTACGGCATGCATAGTTTACATTTAAACTAGACAGTCGGGCCATATCTGACCACACTTGCAAAAAGTCGGTAGGGAGGGGGAGGGGGGAGGGGGGGGGGGGGAGGGGGGGGGCAGAGCATCGCCGGGACGGGTGTGAGCCACCCCGCCTCTAAGCGCAGACACACTCTCCTGTCGGGCCCACCGCTCGCGACGGGGCCCCCGGGGTGGCGGGGTCTCCTCCCCCAACCCGGTGCTGGTCGGCCGGTCCCGGTGGCTTGGGCTCGTCTTACGGCCGCGCTCTGCGGTTCAGCGATGGCGGCGATGTAGGCCCCAGTGGCGCCCCAAAGTGTCCAAAGGATGACGGGGATTCCTGACCAACCCTGTCGATGAAAAGAGGATTGCAGAGGCGGTAGGATTAACGAAATCCACTGTTTGTTGAATTTTTAAATGTCAAGCAGTGTCCATGACCAAAAAGAGGATTATGGTGACCTTTAGTCGAGAGAATGCTCCCATGTCGCGATTTGTTTTGCATGGATAAGTTGTGTGTGAATCGAATCATGAACGGTGTTACTGGTGGTCAGGCCGGTCTCGGTGGTGGGATTTTGCTCTCGTTGAAATGGGTGCGGCAGCCACGCTTTGCTGTTGAGTGTCAAAAGGCCGCTCGTGACAGAAGCAGGATGGTGTTTTGGGGAACTTGGGTCGCTAACTCCGTTCAATGGAGACGTTTAACATCCTATTAGCTGTTGTTTAATATCCCCAACCAATTCTGCATGCCGTGTATTGTCGCTGTTTTTCATTTATCGCCCGGTCATCCGCTGTTACAGTTGACAGCAAGCTTAATCTGTTCTGCAAAACAAGACTTATAGAATACATCTCACAATACATCGTTTTTGCTGACGTTTACTAACTAATTGCAGATGACCCCAAATGAGATTTTGTCATCAGTACAAAATCATGTGTATCACCCTAATAAGGGGGTCGGTGGGAAATATGGGGACTACACCCTCCTTTAAGGTTTTCTGTGGATATCTCTCCGGCATGTCGTGTATTCGCGCCCAAATTTTCAGTAGCTTATGAAGCATCCAGTGCACATCATTGGGCACGTAAAACGCGTCCCTGGCTTTTTTGGTTTCAGAGCTGCGACCGTTTCTTTAGGAGCACCGCTGGTCTACGGCCGGCGCTGGCGGCTGGCGCCTACTGATGACTGCGAGCGGCGCGAGGCGGTCGACACTTTTATATTAATGGAGTTATACCTAATGATTGTATGTTCGAAGCACATCACGCTGTGTGCTAGTGTACTAGTGTATTCAGAACTCAGTCAGAAGCTTACTTACTAGATTTATTGTCACTGTAAGGCATGATCAGTTATGGGTATGTAAAGCTGAAACGTTCTATTTTCAGCCTATTTTTGACCTTAGACCGGGCATAATGGGGTCAAATGTCAGCCTAGCAACACAAAACTTACCACCGCTCGCGAGACCGCGTTGTGAACAAATCGCTGGTATTTTCCATAAGGATTCTTCTTTCTTAGTCAAGAAACAGCAGGGCTCGCATCGATCCCCCCCCCCGAAACAGTTATGAGCGACGGCGAATCACAGCGAAGGTTAATATGACAGTAAGGTTTGAACATGATCGTTTAACTTGCAAACAGGCGTGTAAGCAATGCGTTCACCGCTGCCAAGTGGTGTTCTTAGGCCAGTATCAAGCACTTAAGCTTTTGGATCTGACTGTTTCAGAGAGCTACACTGAAGTTCCTGCCCAGTGCCGCACCTTTCAAACGTATTTCTCCGGCTTAGGGAATATTGTGCTCTTCGTCATTGACCGCAGTTTACCGAGCGCGGGCTTTTCCTGATGTTCGCCATGATTTATCAGAAGACGTGGTGCTTAGCAAAACTGCAGGTTGAGTCTCCAAGAATTGCACCGTAATGACACGTGGTCAGGAGGTGGCTGATTGACGATGAAACCGTGGCGAAAACTGAGCTGGCGACAGCTGACTGGAAAAGAGGCACTGCAGCCCCAACATAACTAGCCAACTATTGTTAAATCAAACTCTTTATGGCCCACGAGACCGTCCCAAGCTGACTGGGGACAAATTTCGTCATGAACGATGCCTCAAAGCATCGATGCGTTTTCTAAAATGGAACGGACGCATTGTAAAGCGTTGATGCCTATGATCAGAAACTATAGGAAAGCTTTGCTGAAAGCCCTCTATTTCGACACAAACTTGACGCACTCACGTTGTGAGTCCCCACCCATTTGGTCTGAAGTGGGTGTGTAAAGCTAGCAGGATCGTGCGGCTGCGGGGATCCCGAAAGGCACGTGTGCGGGACATGCACGCACTGGACCTGACCTCGCAATGGGTTACAAGCTTTAAGTCACTAGATCAACTTGCCCGCCGCGGTGCTCAATTGGTTAGAATTACGTACTCCCATCCGGCCCGTCCCGGGCTGGGTGGGTTGGAGCCGCTCCGTATCTCCGCACTCGTCTCTGAGATGGCCTGCGCCGGCGGCAGCGGCCGCTCAAGGTCAGATGACGTCAGGGAGCCGGGCGGACCATGCCGAGCATTACGGAACGCTTAACTTTCGCTGCTTAATTCCACCGTTGACCCATATTTTCGCGATCGGGTGGTGGGGTCAAGGTTCCCACAATAAGCACTGCTTTCGTGGGCTCTGGTCCCAGAAGTCCTTCCAGTCAAAATGTTCGGACTAGATTCATTAAAGAAGTCGTTGACCCCTTCTAAGCAAGCTTAAAAGTCAATTGTTGTCGACATTTTTCTGGCAGCGGGCTTCACAGGTACCCCTTACATATTCTTGTGAAAATTTAGCAAGCTAAAGCTACGCAGAAAACGGCGATTGAAAGATATCGTCAAAACGCGTTAGATGGGTGTTGCTAAAAAATAGTGAACATGAACTTTGGTGGATCAAACCAAGTCAAAGAAGTCACATTAATACTTGATAGACCCCTCCCATTATTTCAAGAAATAGATATGCAAGACAATGCGGAAGACAGCGTTGAATGGCTTCTGGAAACCTTTATCAGATGGGCGCTAGTGAATATCGGCGCATGTTTTCCTTGTAAGGTCAGATAGGTAAATAATTATGTTGTTTGGGCCTTCCACTTATATCAAAAGTGTAACCAGCCACATCAATCGGGGAGAGCATGGTCACAAAGGCCTGGTCAAGCCGTGCGACTTTGTCATTAGGGTTTTAATGAGGTGACATCCAAACGATCAAATCTGAACTAAATGTTAAAGTTTGACCCTGCTTGACCTTGGATATCCGTACCTAGTAAAAGCCACCAGAACAATAGCGAAATTTTCCGGAGAAACACAAATGAAAGAGCAGTCGAGTAGCCTGGAAGAGCTGTTTTGGTATACATTTCCTGTGCAATATCCGTTATTGCTACTTTTAAACACAGGGTCTCAGACATGACCCTAAGAAGGACATGACTCATGAATCGTTGATGTAAGAAACATCGTTTACCGAGGAGAGGGAGATAGGGGGAAACAGAAGCATTGTTTACAAAATGTATGGCAATTATCTGAACTTAGGCCTCTAAAATGTCATCACTGTTCTCAAAAGCGCCGAAAGGTTGTTTTCCGGAAAACCCTTAGAGAATCTCTGAGGTCCCTTTCAAATTGGAAGCATTATACCTTTGGAAGGCATCTGTAACACTGTTTTTCCCATTGATGTGGCTTATTTAGTTGTCGGCATAGCTGGGCAGGCCGATGAAAAAATGGCTTTAGCCCCTTTGACCTGTCAGGGCTTAGTTCAGGCCACAACTTGTTCACTGAAGCCAATATAGCAAATGCCTTTAAGAGCAATAAATTGCTCTTGAGCAAAACGCCGTTTCTCCTTTATTGTAGCGTGCTGAGTTCTCGAGATAACAGGAGCGTTCCATAAAATACCTATTTGACCACTTCATCCTGATCGAGGCTGTCAAAGGTCGCATTCACCAACATTCAATCACACAAATCTGATGCAGTTTGGTGAGAGTTTACTAATGCCGTTTTCTTCGCCGTTCTAACTTGCTTATATTTCTGTGTCTTGGGTGAGACCTCTGATACCGGCTCCGCTGGGCGAGGGCTTATATGCATGGGGCGAAGCATTAAGACAAATTTATATTCAAAGCACAAACATGCACGTCTGCATGAGGTATTTTCGCTGAACTATTGGAAAGCTAAACGTGCACATCCGATGGCCTTCGCCAGATTCCAAACCGTGCACGGGCTACGGCGAACCTCCTTCCATGTCTGCGCAGGACATCATTCATGCAGCGCACCGTGCAGGAAGCCGACGTTCTGCAGGAGGGCTATCTCCTATTCAAAACTAATAGCCACGCAGGACCGATGCCTATCGCTTGGGGCTGCGGTGCCTGACTGCGCAAAACTAAGAATCTGCCTTTGATAACTGGTTTTGAGCGGATCGTGCGGTTGTGAAGGAGATTTTGCAAGCCTGGTTCGGCTCATGTATTAGGTCAAGAGCGCCCTAAAGTAGAGAAAGTGAGCGGATGACACAAATGTGATCGCTGTTATACTCGGCTCGAGCTGGATTATGATTTTCCCGGAGTTAGTGCGCTGCTAATTCCGTTATCGCTTAGACTCAGTCGTTGGAACAGTAGCTTTAGACCGGTAACCAGTAATAACACCATCAAGCTTGCGGAAAGCTTCGGAGGCGCACCTTAGCCCCAGTTCATGTGGAAAATTCATGGCGTGATCATGGTAACCCCGTGTGCATCCTTCCAGAGGTCGTATGTTGACCCGTTAGTCAAAGACCCGAGGGATTTCTGCCTGCTGAGGCAACTCTATAGACTTCAAGATCGAACGATGGCAGACTGGAATAGTAAACAGAGGACTATCCGGTGCCCAAATCCATACAGGTGGCCACCATTCTGTATCACGAGATTGGCCTAATGACGAATGGTAACCTGCGGCTCTCATGAAATGCCATTATCTCCGATTTGCAGCGCTCCAGCTCCGTCCTGAAGCCCTGCTCGCCCCCGTCCGACAGGCAGCTGAACCACGCTCTCCTCGGCAAGGACAGCAGGTCAGAGGAGGCACATCCCCGCCACCTGTCCCAGCCCGCCCAACCAGTGATGGAATACCAAACAGAGTGCCGTGTACGACGCATCTGCCCAAGGTATCAAGGCCAGACAGGGTTGGGGCATGGTCCCGTGATGCCCGCCACGACTTAATTCGGGCATTTAGCTTATGAAGGCTTATTTGAGCACGTATGATGAATGGATCGCCTTGCAAGTTTAGGAAAAATGATCTGGGTAGTAACAAGCTTGTTGTGACAAAGGCAACGAAAAAAACTAAAAGTTCTCTAAACACTGGGACGTGGAAGCAAAGAGTTAAACCTGAAGTTGTGTTTTATCGACGTCATAGTGGCTAATGGCAAATTCGCTGTTTTATCAATGACACCGAGGTTACCCTAAACATGTTTGCGGAATGTTAACGAAGTTGCAGCACAGCTGCGCTCTCCACAGCATGAAAGGCGGGTCAGCGGACGCACGCCGCCGACGCCTGTGCATGGGATGAAGCGCAAAACGATTGTGATTGGGGCCTGTTTGGGCCCTGCACATGATCGATGATCAATGCGGATGACGGAAGAATGGTGATGCGATTGCTTCTCTCCTGATTCGTACGATATATTCCTTTAGCGTCAACGCTGAAAGCAATCTATGGACTGCTCTTACGATCTTCCTGGGGTTATCACGTCAGAAAATGCTGACTATCCTGTCATGGACGTTTATGCGAGACTTTAACTATTGAGCCATTCGACAAATCTGTGTCCGTCTGATTGCTGTTCGTTAAATTCACATCACGACAAAAAGGCATGCAATGAATTTACCTGTCGGTGATTTCCACTCACCTAATTGCCATTTGCTGAAACCATATTTCGGCATTTTGACAGGAGATCAATCAGGATATACTGCTATTTTGGCAGAAGATCAACATGCCCCCGGGTGGCCGGTTCCATATCCTATATTCGAGTGGGGTTGGGGGGAAACAGTTCGACCACGTGAGGTCTCAAAAATTATAAGAGCTAGATTCACCAAATTCACAGGGTGGGTTGAACTGTATCTGAACCCAATTCTGTATAAATTTGAGGCTCCTAGGTTTTGGCTTTTGGTTCAAATACGATCAAACAAGGCCAAACTGCAGATTGGTACCTAAAATGCCCGGTCATTCAGTCATCCATTCAGGGTTAGTGACCTTGTTTGACGCTTAGAAGGTCATGGTGACCAAAATACTACGACTGCTTTGATTTCTGCATTTGAATCAGAGTTAAGGATAAGGCTAGCTGGCGTGTTCCTAAAAACAAAAGGTCGACCTAGCTTAGTTTAGGTCACTGATCTCTCTGACCTTTAAGAAGTCCAAAATGTCGGATGATGACGATGATGGTGATAATAATAACAATGATGATGATGATGATGATGGTGGTGGTGGTGGTGGTGGTGGCGGTGATGATGATGATGATGATGGCAGATGTATGTTACGGTCCCTGATGTTGATAAACTCAAAATGAGCAGCATAAACTACCTCATACAGCAAAACCTGGAGTGAAAAAGCGGATTGCTTTGACCTCGATCTGACCTTCACGCCTGAGCATAGGTCAAATCAGTTTGCTGGTGTCCTAAAGTTAACTGTTTTGGTGCCTAAGAAACTATTTCCGAGATTTACTGTTTTGCTTAACTCTCCGCTGTCCCATCAAGTTGGACGATTCTCTGGAATTTGTCTTCACTGGCAGCGACGGCCTGACTTCGACCTGCCAAAAGATCGGAAACCCTACAAGGCACATCCAACTTTGTATCCAAAAAGATTAAAAGTTAAATAACAAATATGCTTTGTACACAAGGTTAGAACTGCTATGCAAAGTTTGGCGCGGCTATCCCGCGTCGTCCGGAAATTGTTGTGTTAAAAACCCTGGGCATGGTCGAATTACCCCCCCCCCCGCCCCGCCCCCCTCCCCAGAGCACGTCTTAATTTCCGTTATCACAATTCAAACACAGGATCACAATAATCGCCGCCTGTACTCTGCATGCGGGTCAAGTTAACAGCACCCTGTTTAGGTCACTTTCTGAAGCGTATTTATAGCCGTCTGCGTGATGGTTAGACCAGTGACGGCGTCGCTCGCGCCCGCTTTTTTTCCACGAGTCAGGCAAACATAGAAATTTTCGGCCTTGACCTCTTATCACCCAGTGCCTCATACTCGCCAATACTCACTCCACGCCACGATGTCCACGTGCACAACCAACAGCAGCCTTGCGTCTTCGTGTCTATGAACATATGGGCAGGCATAGTGACAAGCGTTTCGTCTTAAAATTAGCTCCAATCGGAAGCGAGTCATGATCATGTGCCGTGGAAATGGTATGATTATTAACCAATCAGAAGCGATTACGACATTTTGCGATGGGTATCTAAACCAGTCACAGAGAGCGAGATCGCCTGCGAACCCGGACCTATCTGATGGAACAGACGGCTGGCGGGGGGGGGGGGGGCGGGTCGCTGAAGATGGGTTTTAAAGGAGGCATCAAAACACATTACGGATGGCAACCATATTTTAGGTTCCGTCGGGGCAGATGGCATGTGGTGAGCGATCTGTTGCCCAGGAGAGTTAGATGCCTACTAATGTATTTCTTGTCCGAGAGACTTAGGAGAATTCTAGAGATTATATTTCTGAATATATCTAGAGGTGTTCAAGAATTCTGGAAATGTTACTGCCGTGATATATACTTTGTTGCATCACAGCGTGAGGTCCTTTCGATGACATTTTGAGCAAACGTTTCAATTTTCGTCGTTCTCACCGGCCCATGCGAAAATAACATGAGTGCAAACGCAGCAAACTCTGTGTCAATATGACACTGTGACAGCGGTCGAGATCGCTAATTTGCGCCGGTTTGCATCCACAGGTCACAGCCAATGGCGGGTGTCTCCCATCACCCGGGGTGCCATCGCACACTGATGGCCATCTTGGCGACCCTGGCGGCTCTTGGATGCGGCCTCTTTCCAACGGGATCGGCGGCCTCTGTGCACGCCAGACGTGAGTGCTCAGTCATGCGCGCACGTTTGCACATGAGATGACACGTCATGTGCTGGGTTCGGAAGAGTTCCTAGGGCTTGTGCAACTCGCCCATGGGCGTCGCTCCATTCAGTCCTCTAGTTTTTAGGAATTCTGTGTTCGATCTCAACACTCTCAGTTATTGGCCTTGCATTTGACTCCTGGTTGACCTGCACCAACACGGGATATGCTGTCAGGGGATATAGCTTGTAGCATCCGACCAGAGCCGCACGCCATACGTCACGCCATACGTACCGCACGCCATACGTCACGCCGAACCGCTCGGTCCGTGCTCCTTCGACCGGCCCGCTCCAGCTGTCGGCACTGACTGCCTCCACGGTGTGCTCTCCCGCAGAGGCCGGGCCGCGACTGCAGCGACGTGCCATTGCCCCAGCGGCAAGCAGTCAACCCCAGTGGTCACCTTCGCTCTGCCTCAGCAAGAGCTGCGTCACAGCCGGTAACGGGCGGCCCGAGCGCGCTACTGTTTCGTGATCTTTATGCGGGAGCATCGGAGAGACGTTGCCGAACTTTGCACTTTTGATCGACCCTGCTTTCGGCCAATGTTGGCTTTGTTAAATAACATCGGTGACGACCGTGCTATACCTTATCCTGAGACGTGCGCTGTTTAGAAAACGATCGCAACGGACGACGCGGATGTGTGGGAATACGAGTTTTGACAAATGGGCTGAGCTGGTTGAATTGTCAAGGAATAAGGCGCACCGAAAAAATTCACTTCAGTCAGTTACCGAGATCGTTGCGCCACGCTGCCATTCATTGTTCGGCGCCGCAACTCTGCGCTCTTGTCCCAGCAGTTATAGAGAACAGAAAAACAAGATTGTCTTAGCTTTCCCGATTCGGTCCAGCCCTGATCACGAAATGGCCGACTGCCGCAGCGTACAACATCCTGAACAGGATGGACACCAGTGTGAAGCCGTGCGACGACTTCTTCGCCTTCGCATGCGGAGAGTTCAACAAGAGTACAGTCGTTCCGGACGAGAAGTCGTCTGTCTCGGAATTCAGCCTCCTTCACGACGAGCTCCAGGTCCAGATGAGGAAGCTGATCGACTCGCCAATCTTAGATGATGACGCCCCAGCCGCCGTCCTGTTGAAGAAATACTTCAAAAGCTGCATGGATAAGGGTGAGCTTTGGTCACTGCCACGCGTTCAGAGTCTTTCAGTGGAAGATAGATTAAAAATGCATCCTGTTGCTAATTCGTCCGGCACTGTGGTGACTTTATCATACCGTTTGATACGACATGTTTGAGCATCTTCACCAAACATTATATTATATTTGACCGCATTGATGTTATGTGAGATAACATGCCCCGAAGGCCCAGTCGTCCAGCGCCACCATCGTAAGTTTGTCTTCGGCCACACTCAACCCTTAAGCTCACACAGAAACGTACGTGTCATGTGTCCGCGTAACTGACATAAGGCGAGGTGCTAGTGGTGTTTTCTTACAAGCCCTTCTAAGCATGCTTCCCTGCGTAGAGACCATCGAGAAGCAAGGCCTGCAGCCACTGCACGACATCTTGGACGAGATGGGAGGATGGCCCGTGCTAAAAGGTGAGATAGCGGAGTATGTGGCAACCCTGAGGCTAACCAGCATTTTATGTTTCCGTTCCTAATCATTTTTAGCATTGGCTGGACGCCGTAAAAAATCCTTCAACCATTTTTCAGCACATTATTCTAGCGAAAAACGTTGAGATTTTACCTTCAATCTACCAAACATGATTAGTGTGTCCGCACACTTCAACGAAATTGAGCGTGCTATCTTCATTCTTCGGGACATTGGTAAAATTATGATCACATTTGGCGGCCTAGCGCTTGTATTTTGCTAGTTAGCAACTAAGCTAACAACAACCTTTACAATCTCAGTACGCACTCGGGCGGGCGGTCAATTTGCCCCGCCCCCGAAGGCTCTTGCAACAAAACTTCTGAAAAGCGTGGCAAATCTGTGCTTAACTTTGTATAGCCGTAGCCAATAAAGTATCCAATCTTTTGATGTAAAGAAACTATCACTGCCCTGTAAGATCGCTGACCTCTGCTAAGTCAAAATCAGACCATGGCTATCAGGTCCAAGGAAATCGTCCAAGTTGATGCGGCAAATAGAGGTCAAAACCAGATGGCATAGTTTTGTGGGGTAGTTTTTGACTATCATTTCCAATTTCTTGATCTTAGGAGTGCCAGCAAAAGTGCTATTCAAACTTTATCATGGTGAGAACAGGTCAGCGACCTAGAATGACTTCGATCAACCTATAGTTTTCAGGAGCATACCACCTAGCGTAATCAGCATAACGTCCTTGACGCTTAATGAAATTCAAAAATCAAAACCCTCTCTCAGGATTTTGGTCACAGGGACCCTCTGAAGGTTATTGACCTGAAATAAACACCAGTAGCCTCCTGTTTATTAAAGACATCTAGCTCAAAGCTAGATGCATGAGGAGGTCTGAGAAAGCTTCGTACACGGATCTTAAGCTTGACCTTGCTTGATCTACTTCGTACACGGACCTTAATCTTGACCTTGCTTGATCTACTTCGTACACGGATATTAAGCTTGACCTTGCTTGATCTACTTCGTACACGGACCTTAATCTTGACCTTGCTTGATCTACTTCGTACACGGATCTTGAGCTTGACCTTGCTTGATCTACCCCGTACACGGACCTTAATCTTGACCTTGCTTGATCTACTTCGTACACGGATCTTTAGCTTGACCTTGCTTGATCTACTTTGTGCCGAGGACCATAACCTATTCCTATATATCCCCCGAAGTTGGTGTCTCTAGCTCTTTTAGTTGTGAGTTCCCCATTCGGGTGTCGTCATATTCAACCGGTTACCTGGGCACGTGTTGAAGATGTCCCACATTCGTATGGGTTTTGAACCGAAATAGCCTTCATGACGATTCTTCGGTGCAGTTCATAGTCCTGCCCTTCTCAAGACCCAAAATCCTCTAGTTTCTGAGCTATACGTCTGCTGATGTGCAGACATTTTCGTGCAAACTATTTCAACGCCACTCAGGGGATGAGCGCAGTGCAGTGGTTAACGCGTTTGCATTAACCGCTCCACGCCTGTGAGACCAGAGGTACAGGGTTCGATTCCCCCGGTGCCCACCCTGACTGCCAGGATGAGAGGTAGGCGACGCCATACGGGCCCAGCCGATTGTGTCATGAAGCACCAGTGACGACGACGATGTCCCTCAGGCATGCATAACGCCATAGGCACGTCATTCAAAATGTGCTTCTAAGCCGCGTTTAAGGTCAGGAGAAATATAATCGACGAGCTGTTCATATCTGGCGTTCGTGAATACGATTTCTCGAGGTAGCATGATTTAATTGCCCCCCCCCCCCCCAAGCAATATTGTGCAGTCTGTGCGAGTTTCAATTACGAATCACGTTTGTGCTACATAATACAAGAAGTTGGACCTCCCTACTAGATAGTACGAAAATGAGACTTGCAAGAGAAAAACTTAAGAATTGCGCCATAAATGGCATGTGAATGCAGGTAAACACCTTAAACTCACGGATAAGTATGTAAGGACATCACGAAAAGGTCCAAAACACGAACACGTCACAATATTTGGTTCAGCAGCATCTCCAGCATGCCCATCCACCTACCTGGAAGTTTCAGTGCTACAAGTGAGTGTTAGGGTGGCAATTTCTCATAGTCAGTTTGGTTGGATCTCAGCATCATGTAAACGTTACATGACGCAATCAAACAATGACTTAATGAGGAGCCTATTTATTGAAAAGATGTATTTTGTTGTCTGGAGCACTCTTTCCGCTTAAAAGTACACCAATGTTTTAACTGAGCTTTTTCACCACAACTGATGTTTGGTGCAGTATCTTCAAATGTGGAACATTTCCTTTAAGCACATATATGTTGTAAATTTATTAGGTAAGGTAAGGTAAGGAGGAAAGATTAAGGTTAGGTAAGGAGTCAAGCTATGGCAAAAAGTGATAAAGTCTGCTGGCGGACACTCGCTGATAGATGCCCATCTCATGCAGCCAATCTTAACTGAGGCATGTTAATAACGCAATAAACCTAGGGATGCAAACATCTGAAGTCGTTATGAACCATAGAAAGCAAAACAAAAAACCCGTTTTGTAATTTCTGAACATCCAAGATTCTTTAGGCGAATAAGTATATAACTGGATAATAAAAGGGTGTAATACGTCCATCACTGCGCTGCCTCATGCTACAACACGCGCTTAGCGGCAGAGAATGACACCTATCTATCTTTTGCAGGCTCGGCATGGGACGAGGATGCTTTCCAATGGACGGAGGCCGTGTTTCAAAACCGGAAGAGGGGCTACTCCGACAGCCACATGTTCTCGTTCAGCGTTTCGGCCGACGTCAAGAACTACTCCCGCCGCCATATCAGCCTGGGCGACACGTCGCTGGGCCTTGGCAGAAAATACCTGATCAAAGGTCAGTCAGGCGTTGCGTGGTATATTGCCGGGCTCTCTTCTGTGAGTGGACAACAACCGTACACGAGCGTTTGCTGCGCAGGCACGTATCCTGTGTTTTGTCTGAGTCTCGTGCACCACTGTGACGTCATCTGTCCTGTCGCCCGGCAGGTTTCAATGACTCGGACGTGCAGGCCTACTACAACTTCATGGTGGAGATGGCCTTGCTGATGGGAGCCGAGCCAGAACGTGCCAAACAAGAGATGGAGTCTGCGCTTCGTTTTGAGATGATGCTCGCCAACGTGAGGTCATGGGCTTAGAGCCTTTTCAGTGAGCATGATTGGCGGGTACCTCCACGAGACCTCCACGAGTAAAATTACCTGCACCCAACCCGTCCGCTACCGATGGGGATGTGCCTACATTCACGTGTGACCTTTTCCTAATCTGCTATATTCATACGCTGAAAACCGACAAAAATAACTTTAAGGTTTTGACGCAAATGCATGACATGCCGAGAGGGCACTCTCAGAAAATCTTATGATAGCCACATCGGTCCGGCGATCAGCGCGATGGTTAAACCGGCGCGTTCCTTGTTTAGACCTGAGTACAATGGTGCATGACTGTGTGTGCGAAAAGACTATTTCTATTACTTTAGCAAACAAAACGTCCGTTTGTAAACTTGATCCTGGACAACATGGAGGGTATCGCAATGGACGGGGAAGGAGACGGGTTCAAAATCCCTGAAAACCCAGTAAGTGAACCGCGTGCGAGTGGAATTTCTCGCGTACTATAACGCAACATCGGATGTTATCGATTTCGTTAGTGTGAGGTGTTTGTTTCGAATTGTTCAGCGCACATATTCATTCACGCACATTTGAATGGATGTAATATCTTTGGTAAGGGGAACGTGTCCCCAAAAATGTCGGCTTTTGTCAAGCCGCCACTTGTGAAACGGCAAAAGACGCATCAATGACTTTTTAACGCGGCATCATATATGCGCAAACTTTCCTCCCCACAGTTTGAAGAACCCCTTGCCAGGTGTACAGCCTGTGCAGCACATTTGGATGGAGAACTCTGCTGAAAGGCCCGATATTCGCCAGCGTGCTTTCCCCTGAACTCTGCGCCGGCGCTCCAACCCCAAACGGCCTAGACTGGGTCATCACGTTAAGGCCTCGGTAGCTAAATACAGCGCGTGACAATCCATACAGACTTAAAGCTGCGATTGGCAGGTTGAACCCTTGTCCTGATTCGCCGTTTCATAACGCGAAATGATAATATGCGCTGCCTAGCCTTTCCAAACTATCGCAGACAGACCTTAACAGAAATTACCAGTGGATTAGTCCAACTTGATCTCACGACTCGTACGAAATTGTATGGTATTAGGTTAATAATGGACCCATTATACCAGTTCAAAGGTCGAATTTTCGTTAAAACGCACTTTTCATCGTCACGACATGATACATACGAGATCACACCCCATGGCGATACAAAATGTAAACATGCGTGTTCCTTGTTAAATTACGTGTACAACGGTGTGTACATCATGTGTTTCGAACCCGCATCTACAATGCATGACCCCGTTAATGTGACAATGTCGGCTCGTCGCGCGCCTCCCGTGGCGTCGTCGGTTGGCGCCCGCCGTCCCTCGCCAGCCGTAGATCGCCGCGCGGTGTTCCACTACTACTACTACTACAACACTACTACAACACTACTACTACAACACTACAACACGCCACTACTACTCAATCAGAAAAGCTAGGAACACGTGTTTGGTGTCAAAACACGTGCAACAGAAGCCCCATAGACTGCTCAAAATTTTGGGCGCGAATTATACAGCATGCTAGCGAGTTGTCCTAAAAAACCTGTCGTGCATCGACCCCCATCAGGGCGAAGATTAACACGCGCCCGGATGGCCGGCTAGATACCCTTCGCTCGGGTGGAGGGTCAAGTTGACCCCCCATCCTGAGATCTCGGAAACTAAGAAAGCTAGAGACACCGAATTCACACCGTGTGTTGACCTGTACGTGAAATCACCTAAGTCAAAGTTTCAGGTTCCTAGGTCATGACCTTCGGGTAAAAAGGTCAAACAAGGTCAAGTTCCAGGTTGGTCTCCAAAGTGCCCCCAGAACCTAGATAACCGTTTTTAACCAAAAGGTCACATGCTCATTCAAGGTCAGTGACCTTGTTTGACTTTTTGAAGATCAAGATGACCAAAATCATACAAAGTTGCTTTGAGTTTTGCATTTGATTTAAAGACAAAGATTACGCTAGGCAGTATGCTCCTAAAACAAAATGTTGGCCTGGGCCATTTTAGGTCAATGACCTATTCTGACCTCTAAGAAGTCCATGAAAGATGCATAATGCGGTTCCTGTTAGCCATAGATTCGAAATAAGCACCAGAAACTATCCCATACAGCGAGCCCTAGAGTTACAAAGCAGGTTGGTTTTGGCCATAGTGTGACCTTCATGCCTGACCTTAGGTCGATGTAGTTTGTTCATTCAACTGCTGTGTTGCTTAAGAAAGTACTTCAGAGATGTATGGCTTCGTCTAACACCCCGTTGTTGGATCAGACTGAAGGATTCCCTAAAATTTGCCTTCGCCGAAACCATTGCCTGTTGCCAGCCGAGCTCCGCGCAGTATTTTGCAAGCTTCCCCCTTCGCCCGTGATCAAAGTCATACCCATAATTTTCCCCAAATGCGTACCCATTCCAGTTTGTTACACCATTCCACAAGAAAGGGCAGCACCGGGGTTACCCAATCCGTGAAGCCTTCCACCGCGGACGTGTCAGCAAGCTTCTGTTCATCGTCCCGCCGACAGATATCGCTGCCGGCGGAGGAGCGTCGCAATGCTTCCAAACTCTACAACAAAATGACGCTGGATCAGCTGAGCCAGCTGGCACCCATTGTCCCCTGGGTGGACTACACCAATAAACTCCTGGAGGACGCCGGACACCAGGTATGTCGCGTAATGTCATTAACTTACAGGATTGAGCTGAACAAAATCGGCATTTTTACTTGGTTTCGGCGCCCCTGAGTGCGTCTTCAGAAATTCGTCCGGAAGTGATATCATCAATTTGTATTTAAATTGTGTGTGAGTGCCTTCTTTCTCCATCAACCAGGAAGTTTCGTTGTTCCCAAGACACATTCCCCGTGAATTTGACTACCTTTTGTTCGTCTTCATGAAACGGTTCATAATTATATTTTCTATGCCTGAAATAGCTGTTCAGAAGTCCCATACAGTTGTTTCTCATAAATTTGCGGTGCTTCTTCGTTCAGTTTATCCAACATTTCTCCTGGAGCTATACCATACTGGAGCTAATCCACGCAAGTCGCGCAAGGCTTGTATTGGCTGTCGTCCTAACATGGACGGCGCCAGCAGCTGCATCTTGCCGAAGATTGAATAATCAACAATCATAATTATCACATCAGGGACTCACGATGATCAGAGATATGTACTCCGCTGCTTTTCTGGAGCAGGAGTTCCGTGTCCTCCAGCCCCACAGCGCTGGCTTATTTCAATTTGCTGTTTATCCATCGACAGGCCATTCATGCCCAGCGCGCTCGCATTGGTGCGGTGAGTGGGCTCTTGCCAACTGATCGAGTGTTGGTGCTTCAGACACTGATTTTAGGCTGCCAGGCTTCCAACATCCGGGAGTTGCACATATATTAGTGTGTCAGAGGTCATCATGTCGCCGCCGGTGGGTAACCGGTGGCGATCTATTGCCAGGTTTCGAGTAACGAGTCCGTCAATGTCAACCACCCCGAGTTCTTCAAGAACCTGACCGGGCTGCTCCAGGTCACGCCGAATAGGTAACGAGCAGGTCTTGTGCCCATGTCTGTCGGCCACCATAATGTGGAATTTCGCCGCAGGGTAGATAAATCGCCGATACGGCCGGTGAACCCGAAGCTCGTCATGCATCCACTCGCTTCACAGACTGCTGATCTCGTTCACATATTGCCAACTTTCTTCGTAGGTGTGTATCGCATCGGCATTTTCATGTGTATTTTGTGCGCGTGAAAGACAACAGAATATGCTATACCGGAGGAATAGGCGGACTTGCTCAACTGCAGTAGAGCTCACGCGACCTCACTGCCATCTATCGTGCGGTCCCACTGCCGACAGGGTACTGGCCAACTACCTTCTTTGGCGTGTGGTGAAGGGGTCCGTGAGTCAGCTGAACCTGGCGGCCCGCGATGTGCGCCTCAAGTTCTACGGTCAGGTGTACGGCGTCACCGAGCACAAGCCCCGCTGGAAGGAGTGTCTCGGGAGCGTCTTGGGAAAGTGAAGCATGACGCAGGCGGCCGTCGCCTTGGGTTCAAGTGGCATTTAAGAAGAATGCGCTTGCGCACGGTCTCGGAAAATTTCGTGGGTCATCGGGTTTAATGTCAGGAGCTACGTCAATGTCCGTTACACTTGGAAGAACCACTCAGACTGACCAGCACCGGCGCTCTCTGTTTCCAGATTTACCATCGGAGCGGGATCCCTGTATGTGCAGAATCACTTCGACCAGGAGTCGAAGACATCGGCTCTGAGGTTGGTGTCGGATGTTCACAAGGAGTTCGACATGATGCTGCAGGAGGTCACCTGGATGGACAACGTCACAAGGTAACGTCAAATGAAGTGTGAATCATTACTCAGCTGCACACATTTAAGATGCAACTCTTCGTGTCTTGCATGCATCATTCGGCTTATGTTTGCCCAAACTTCCAGAGCAGTGCTGTGATAAATTTTTGTTGGGCTAATCCCGTGCTTAAGATTCCGACGTAAATGTGTGCCGCATCTTAAGTGACGTTTTACGGACAAGATTAAACGTATGCGGACAGCTGTTCTTCAATGAACTACCTCTGGGATACATGCACAACGGGTTTTAGGCTTAAAAGAGAGGAAACGGGCATTCCCTCCTGACATATCGTGGTTCGATCAATTTACGATGCAGAAGTACTACAATTACTACGAGTTACAAGTTATTGATCACAGGGAAATTCCGCTGCAGTCACAGGGGAAAGGCTCGGCCCATCGCAGTTCCCGATGGAGGCCGCCAGCATCTGCAGATACTTCGCCACACCTCACGTGTCGTTCTTCTGCAGGGAGCGAGCAGTTGAGAAGTCGAAGACCATCAGCTATTATATCGCTTACCCAGACGAACTGCTAAACGATACTCTGGTAGGCGAGTTCTACGAGAACTTAACACTCAGCGACGACAACTTCCTCCGGAACAAGCTGAACCACAGTATCTTCGCCGTCAACTACAGCTACAGAAAGCTGCGCGATCCTGTCGACAAGAAGGACTGGCGCCGACACAGCAGGGCCGCCGTCGTCAACGCATTCTACAATACCGTGGATAACAGCATCAGTAAGTGCCCCTCACTCACGAGAGTGCTGGTCACACTTCAGTCGTATCTCAGCTCCAGTCGGAGCGACGACGGGGCACTGGCGTCAGGCTGCGCTTGCCAGCAGTTTTGCAAACAATTGAAAAGTGTTGGTTTACCTTGAAGTACGTTTGCTGTCCCTGTTGCCGTCGAATTGCTATGACGCTTACGACACACGTGCGTTTCGTTGCTATGTTGCTGCGTTAAGGATAACACGCTGTCGAAGGCATGTTCATTTCAGTTCAGCCGACGAAAGTTTTGTTTTATCATTACCGCATGTTCCAGTACATTTTCATCTAGGCTTTGTGAACTGATTGCTCATTTGTGGTGGTTTAAAGCACAGCGCATAATGGGGCTCGAATTCCACCTAGTGTGTGGTACCACCCCAACATGGTAACAACCTTGATGGCCATGCGTCTGTTGCGCAATATTGCATGGCATGCTTAAGCCCAAGTGCTAGCAGTTCTATTCGGCTCTGAAAACTCCTGCTATATGGCTGCATTGGAACAAGGTACCAGCTGTTGGCACCCTAATTCGGCCGTCTCATATTTGGTGTGGTTTTACAGCGTTCCCGGCGGGAATTTTGCAAGGAGGCTTCTACAACAACGACAGACCCCAGTACTTAAATTACGGGGCCATCGGCTTTGTCATTGGTCACGAAATTACGCACGGCTTCGACGACAGGGTGGGTATGCCGACTAACGTCCGACGACAAGCTAAAACAAACTGCTTGCAACAGAGGCTCTGCACACCGTGACGTGTTTGACCTTTTGACCTTTGACTTTTCCTCAACTGCTTGTTTACTTTGATTTTTATATCCTCTTTCTCCGTCAGAAAAGAGCCATTTCCGTCCGCATTTCATCTAATCGCAAGATCAGCTGAACGTGCGCTGGTGCCGCCGCCGGTTCAGCACTGACCTCTCTCCGTGCGACAGGGACGTCAGTTTAACGCCGAGGGCGAGCTCCAAGAATGGTGGGAGCCGGAGACGCGCGACCGCTTCCTGGACAGCGCCCAATGCATCATCGAACAGTACGGCAACATCACCGTCGACAGGGTCGACATGCAGGCACGTGCGGGCACGCATGGCATCCACGCGGTGGGCCCTTTGGCGGTGGTTGCACACCTAAACTCCTATCCAGCGGACGCGGGAGTTACAGGCGGTGTCCACACGTGTGACGTCAGTGCTTGTCACCACAGGCTATACAATCTCGTCGGTGGGCCTGGCCTTTCCGCATTTTGTGGGCCAGTGGTCGGGGGCTAGCAGGTGGGCCCATTTATGTGCCACCGCAGATGTATACAATCCTGCCACGGACTCAGAAGACAAACCGGATTCGTGTGGGCAGGCAGGCAGGCAGCAGGAAACAGGCAGATGCCGGTAAGAACTAAATCAAAGCACTGAATGACACGCGGTAGGGCACCCCGGAGAACGCCGCACTTCGTCGGAGATATTCCCTCTCGCGCCGCGTGCAAGGTTGTCGGAATCCTTCTCTATGTGGTCCTGAGTGATGAATAGCATAAAAAACAGTTAGTCATATCGGTGATGGTGGAATTTAGTAATGACCAATTCAAACCCCTTTCAAGCTCACCTTGCGATATTTCGGGTAAGGCAACCTTCCTTATGCCACTGGACCTTGCCCCAGTACATGAAATAAAAACTTGGAGAATTGCAGACTTTCAGGGCAATGCTGGTACTTTTAAAGCCGAATAAACGCATTATACTGCGCATACTTGTTGCAAAGTGTCCGAAATTCAATTTAGGGTCAAACAAAGCCTTTCAGGCCACTGTCTTTCTTCCATTTGGAAACAAATGGACGTCCGGAGAGTATAGTGTTTCAGAACGATTATTTATGTTATTGACGTTTATCAACTGAATATTCATCGCTGAAAAAACAAAAACTGACCACTTTTGTAAAAAGCAGCATTCTGCATCCAGGGGTTAAGCAAATCCAGGGTTAGTATGTTAGATACCGGTGACCTGGCACAGACTGGAACCTTTTTTGCAATGTCTAAGGTGATAAGGGTCAGGTGAATCAAGTTTTGCGGCGACACCTTTGGCCGTTTTCTTTTCGTTCCAGTAACGCCGCTTGGAGGGTGTCATTAATTCCTTTGGTCGGCAATGGTTATGAAATCATAGACAGACTCTTGGAAACAAAGCCGTTGTTCCCTGTTCCAGCCAAAACACCACGTGCTTCCGTTAACGTACCCTATGTTCTGGACGCAGGTGAACGGCATCACAACCCAGGGCGAGAACATCGCCGAACAACGGCGGCATACGGATCGCGCGCCGCGCCTACGACCGCTACCAGCGCGGTGAAGGGCGCGAGCCGGCGCTGCCCGGCCTGCAGCAGTACACCAACGAGCAGATGTTCTGGCTGGGCACCGTCAACACCTGGTGCGCCGTCTACAAAGAGGAGCGTCTCAGGCAGCTCGTGCTTACCGACAGCCACGCACCCGCGTTCGTGCGCATGAACACCGCGCTCAGCAAACACCGCACAGTTCGCGCGTGACTGGCAGTGCCCAGCCGGCTCCGCCATGAATCGCGTCGACCGCTGCGGCGTCTGGTGAGCGACCGCGGTACTGCTGGTTTTTTTGGGGGCCGGCAGGTAGGACTCTTCACGGATTCTCGTCCGTCCAGTTAAGCATTTTACATAGGTAGAGGGCGGTGGTGGGAGTGGTAGGAGTAAAGGAAGAATGCTGCCTTCTTTCCGGAACATTTCGTAGAAAGTGGCATGGTCATGGCCACTTTGCGTCCGGGATGTACGAACAGGCATGTTTCTAAGGTGATCACTCATTGACATCCAACGCAAGATCATGTATTTCACGTTTCACCTCTTCGTGAAAATTTTGGTTGCGTTCAACGTGCTAGTGCTCATCACAGAGCAAATATCGTATGAATACAACCTGGAAAAGCTACGGATGGTTTTGCTATCGCAGGCATGGCAAGCGCCAACTGAGCGGAAACGCTACGTCTTCTGCGCGATGGTTTACGATGGTGAGCCGCATGCGTTCTGCAGCAATCCGATCCGAATCCGAAGCTGCCTTAGACACGGGAAGGGGGGGCTGGGTAGTACATGAAAAGATTTAAAGGATGTATCGGTTGCGAGGTCGCTTGAGGGTCGATCGGTTGACTGTGTAGCATCTGCCAACCAGATAAACTTGACCATGGGAAGCCCATGTGAAACAAGGAAAGAAATAAAGAAGCCAACAGTTGCGGCTGGCTTGCTTCGCTTGGGCATCAAACCACTAAATTGAAAACTCGTGGTAAAGCACGGCCAGCCAGAAACGAACCAAGTGAAACTAGATGAAGGAATGATTCTGACCCTCGCCATTGTCATGCGAAACGAGGACGGTTGTTGGTGGAAGGGAGAGCTATGCCCCCTTCTCTACTGTTTGGGGACGGGCATGGGCCTCAGTGGATAGCAGTGAAAAGGCCTCGTGGAAAAAGACAGTGAATGCGACTCAACACAACGCCTTGCGAATTTCGATAAGCAAAAACGAAACATGGCCGCCCTATTGCTGGACGGCTGCTCCTGTACCGGACATGCGGCCTCTTTCTGTGCCCAACGGCCGCTCCCGTCTCGGGCACACGGCCCGTTTTGTGCCAGACAACCCGGCCGCTCCTGTGCCAACACGTCGACGGTCGCAGTGATTCGAAACAGCGACGCTCCAGTGAGCGGCTCACTGCCGCTGCAACAGCAATGAAGTGCTGGCGCCGCACGCTCTGCTAAGATGCAGAGCATTATAACGGCGCAGTGAAGGTTAATGCAACAAGTATGTTACTCTCCTTGCCAATTTTATAAGCTCGTGATATGTGGCCATTTAGGTTCTAGGTTCATAGCTGGAACAAATGATGCGGTGAACGTGAAATGACTATAACAGGTAAGCATGGAAATGCTGCGGTGGCTATGTTATAGCTGTTGCCCAAATGTCACTTAAAACGTGGTATTTTAAAATCAATCGTTGATCTGAGGTACACGCTCCCGGGTGGCCGGTTGGAAACCCTTCGCTTGGGCAGGAGGTCAATTTAACCCCCCCCCCCCGCGAGATCTCAGGAACTAGAGGGCTAGAGACCCCAATTCCACAGGGTTGTGTTGACCTGTACGTGAATCACATTGGTCAAGTTTGAGTTATTGGTCCTGACCTTCTGGTCAGATAGGGTCAAGAAGGTTAAATTTCAGTTTGGTCCCCAAGGGGCTCCTAGAACATAGACCACTGCTCTAAGCGAAAGGTCGCTGCATGACCTACAGCAGTCGATGCGCCCTAAACCCCCTAAGCGAGGAGGTCACATTCTCATTGAGGTCAGTGACCTTGCTTAACCTTTTGAAGGTCATCCTGACCAAAATCAGACAAGACTGCTTTGAGTTTGCATTTGAATAAGTGACAAGATTCTGAAGAAAGATAGTGACTAGGCAGTATGTTGTTTAAAACAGAATGTTGACCACGGTCATTTTAGGTCAGCGACCTTCTCTGACCTTAAGAAAGTCCATGGAAGGTGTATAACGCGGTTCCTGTTATGAATAAGTTTAAATGAGGACCAGAATTATCCCGTACAGCAAACCCTAGAGTAATAAACAGGTTTATTTTGACCTTGGCGTGACCTTTATACATGACTCTATGTCAATGTAATTCGTTTCTTCAATTGTTGTGTTGCCTTGGAAAGTATTTCAGAGATGTATGGCTTCGTCTAACACTCCGTTGTTGGATGAGATTGAACGATTCCCTAGAAATTGGCCCTTGCTAAAACCTATGGCCTGGATTTTGACCCGTGAAAGATCAGTGACCTTACAGGGGTAATCCAAATTTGCAAGCCAGACGATCGGTTGTTTCAATTGTCTACAACTCTGCCAAATTTTGGCGCGGGCTACGCCGCGCCGGTCGGATAGCACTCCGAGAAAAAAACCTTTAGAGGAGGTCAATTTGGCACCCACCCGAGTGCTTGTTTATCTGAAATCATAACGTTGCTAGGCACTTAGCAAGGTTCGTTTATAACGAAATGGTCACAGCGCCCGAAATTCGAAAAATTCAAACAATTTCACAAGCATGGCTCGTTTGAGGACATCGACCCCTATATAACCCAGTTTCATAAGATATGTGTATCTCCGGTAGCGGACCCAGAATTTCGTCAAGGGGGGGGGGGACACGCAACATTGGTGGGCCCCCTGGAGTTTAGGGCCCCTCTGAAACATCCTTGCATTTTGGTCTTTGCTTCCCAGACATATATATATATATATATATATATATATATATATATATATATATATATATACATATTTATGTATGTATGTATTTGCTTCTGCATTTATTTGATAAATACGGAGATCCATCTTGCTGTGCACAGCCCTTTAAAGCATGAGCGTGCTATGCATGCATACACGTAGAGCTCACTCATTTCTACAGATCGTTTTAAAGGCTGTAATTTTGAAGCTAAGTGTAGCGGAACAACGGGCAAAAAAAGTTGAGTTGGCCGCAACAAGCCATCAAAACCCAGCAGGACCTAGCTAATGTGTTTACGGCTAGCCGGCCAGGTGATGCAATCAGCTGATGGCTGATGACTAATGACTAATTTTTCCTTTGTTTTAAAAGAGTACAGCATATCCAAGCGTTCAAAACATGTCTAGAATATGATGCACTAGAAAACTTAATGTCACACACTCAATAGCCAATGGAAATGACACATGCGACGTCGGCGGCATGTCAAATTACATTCGGCAATCGCGCGTAAAAATCCATCGGCGCATATTCGGCTGCTGCTCCAAGGCGAACGCACCAAATCCAATAGGGACGGAACCTGAGCGGTCATGAGTGCCGCAGGAGGCCAACAAAGTGGCTTCCGTCAACAAGAATAGGGTCCTCAGAGCAGGTAAAAAAACAACAACAAATACTATCGTGGTGGGCCCCTAAATGATCGGTAGTACCCCCGCAGGCTGACGTATAAGGCCCCGGCGATAGCACAGGACCCTTCAAGCAAAGGCGAACTATCCAAAACCGTTAATTAATACCCCTATGCGACCAAGAGCGCGCGGGCAGGTTAACAACATGAGCCTCGATAGTCGTGAAGAGTCCTCCGCAAATGAGACCAAAGGGAAAGAAACCTCGATAAAAGTATAGAGCCCCTGAGCATCGAGTGCATCCGTACCTTACTTTATAAGAGCCCTTGAAGCAAGTGGAAATAACCCGAAACTTATATGAAGGGCCCCTGAGGAACTGAGTGTACCCTGGTAAATGGGACCCCGGAAAAAGTGCGAAGAGCCTTTCGGGCGATTGGGAAGAATCTGTGGGGTTAAATCTGATCGATCAACAGTGCTCAGGCATGGAGGCAGATAGCTTCCCATCAGCACATTGGGCCCTGCAAGAAAATGCAGAGACCAAGGGCAACGTAGATAGCCCCTTAGCGATCATATTGACCCGGCAAGTAGACATATAAGACCAGGCAACAAACGGCGTAATGCCTCTAGACAGCGCAATGAGCCCCAAAATTCCCCCCCCCCCCCTCCCCCAAAGCAACACTTTCTCAATCAGCGAAGAATGGACCTCATTCGCTTATGAGCTCTCTACTTTTGCTAACAATGCTCGTTAGTCATCTGTGGGACTAAAGACATTCAATTTTGTTGTGTTTTTGTTGTAAGAAAACTATGTCCGTCCGGTCGGCTATGAGCCTCTTCGGAGCCTTTAGGTCACCTTGGCATGTTCCGTGGGGCGTAACCCCGAGGCTTCTCTCCCACCCCCTCGGCATACGCCACCGGCACAAGTAGCTGAACGGATGGGTCTGCCAAACACTCAGGGCGACCCATTCAAACACAAAATACTCACGACGCAAGGCGTAGGGCTCCGAACGATGGCCGCGTCCGAGCAGGTTAACATGTGGGCCCCTGTCAAGGGCGTGGGGCCCTCCATTCAAACAGGAAGTACCCAAGACCCAATGTAGAGGGCCCCCGCAGGACCGAGTGAGCCCGAACAGGTCAACAGATAAGTTTCCCAAAAAGAGCGTGGAGCCCTCCATTCGAATAGAAATTGTTTAAGACTGAATGCAGAGACCTCAAATGATACAGGACGTTAGAACAGGCTAGCAATAGGGCCCCGTCAAGAGCGTAGGGCCCTCCATCGAAATAAGAAGTACCCAAGGGCCAAGACCCAATGTAGAGGGTCCCCGAATGATCGAGTGTGCCCGAGCACGTTAACCAATAGGGCTCCCGACAGGAGCGTAAGGCCCTCCATTCGAATTGAAAGCATCAAAGACGCCATGTAATGACCCCAGAATGATGGAATGTGCCCCGA